TGCCCCGGCCTGTGCCCTTCTGGGCTTCCGTAGCGCCCGGCGGCGGTGGCTGGGAGAAGCCGCGGAGCCTCGTGGTTCCGCTAGGGCGCGAGGGCCCCGGCGGAGGCCTGGATTCGGAGCCGCCTTCGGCTAGCGGCGCCGGCTCTTGTGGAGTGTGGGCAGCCGCATCCTGGAGTTGAGATGTAGGAAAGAGCCTAAGCATCTCCACTTCCCCGGAGTTACATTAAAAAAGAAAAAACATTGGCAACCTAAGTTGAACCTCAGCTGACATGTATACCAGTTTCCTCTGACGTCGCTTTAGGACATGACCCATGATGTGTGACAAGTCGGAGGGGAAGATAACAGTGGCCTAGGAAGGACTAGGAATAAAAATTCTAGGGAAGGGGCTGGAAAATGCTCATCTCCCGGTCTCCCATCTAGAGAAGCAAACTCTAACCTTGCCACGCAGCGCCGGCTCGCACTCCAGCAATTAATGTTTTATTAGGAAAACAAGTTTTTGCTTTTCATCTTTATAATTAAAACGAAAGTATAACCAGGGAAAGCATCATAGTTAAAAGGAAGTTTTTATTAACAAAAAAGGTTTTTCTTAATTCATATAAGTTCATTTTTAATAGTAAAAGGATAAGATGCTTAATAGTGTTGTTTCATTCATGAACACTTTATTCCAGTTTACTCCTTTTAAATGCATTTGCTTGCTCTGTGTGTATATTTTAACAGCTAAAAGCCATGAATTACCAGCTATTTAAAAAGGTAACTGCATTGGAAAATGAAAATTTATAGAATTCTATCATGATCAAAATAAAATAAAAAATCAAACGAAGGATAAGAATTTGTTTAGAAATCTTTTATCATTAGGGTATTACAGCTTTTTCAGAACAAGTATAATTTACAGAAATTATACAAGGCAACTTTTTGTCAAGTATCAATATTTAGCGATGTGTTTTGTTTAGCTGAAATGTTATTTCAGTTGTAAGTACCATCTCCAGTTACAAAAATAATCAGAAAACTTTTCAGATTTAACCTGCTTTTACAAATGTCCTGAGAAATCTTAAGATAAACAATATTTTAAGTAGAAAAACATTAATTTTTAAATAGTATCTTTGTTATACTACTTCTGTGGTTTATGTACATACTGTCCTCTTTGATAGAAAACCTGACTAGAAGTTTGTCACAGTAAGCACTGTAAAATAAGGGTAAGAGCTAATCACCTTTTAACAAAAATACTGTATGCAAAAATTGTAAATATCAAAGATACTATTATTTAGTGATTGATAATCAATTGCTACAAAACATGAAACAGAATACATTTAATGGATTGTTTTCAAGTTTGCAGCTGCCCTCTGCCATACAAAATAAGGATTTCTCATAAATAAAAGCTGCAGTGCCATTCACTTAGTATTGGTTTAGGTCAATCCTCCCTCCACTTCCCATTACTCTTTTTTCTTCCCCACTGCCCCACCTCCTGCAGTGGTGCCATATTATTAAAAACATTAAGTACCCGAGGTTTATGCTGCAGATCAAGACATCATTTGAGTAATTTCAAATGATGTACAGCTTTTCATGTAAAAAAGATGTTTTGTGGTCACAATTACTTCAGAAAGTAATTATATTCAAATAACCTGACATATGCCTTAGCAATTACAAAACCATGATTTCAACACATGGCAATTTTTAAGTTAGGCAAATATGAAATGCCAAAAGATGTGAACAGCTGTTCTGTTTAACTTTAGAGTTCTGCAAAACTCAGGTAATGACTTTATTTTTTCCGTTAACATAACCAGCCCACAGTACAGCACACTGAATCATAAAGTACAAATCCAAGGAAAGTAGTAACTTTACTTAAGTTACACAACTTTGGCAAATCAATACAGTACTCTTTAATACAATAAATCATATTTTTGTTGGAGTCATATTACTTTAGTGATAATTTTCACTCTAAAAATATCATGAACGTACAAAATCAAAACACTGTGGTTTTTATGGTGGTTTATAGCAGAGCAAGTTATTTTATACAAATTAATTTAAACCATATAATTTCTTGTTTTAAAGTGAGTTCTCTCATGCAAGCTGTTCAACTTTACAGCAGCAGGGCAGTGTATATAAGAGGTGGCTCTGCTTTGTTCTAGGGTTGGTCCAAAGCCAGGTAGAGTTCCAATGCATGAAAAGCTTTAAAATTCTACCTTAAAGAGATTCAACGTCAATATCGATTTTCAAGTACTTCTTTAAAAATTAAATTTTCACAAAAATATTGGAACCCTCAAAATTAGTCATTTCAAACAACAGTAATTTCAGATCCCTTTTATTTAGAAGCCCTGCATTTCTTTATTTGGATCAAAAGTCACACAGCCTTACTTCAGCTTATTAAAAAAAATTCTATCTAAAATATAGTAGTATTTTTAAAATAATAAATATATTGCCAGCTTGGAGAGACCCGGGGGACTGGATGTTGTCTGCCAACTTTCATCATTATTTCTCTACAAATGCCGCTGCCGCCATAGGTGTCCTTATACTTCCTCTTGCTGAAGCTGTCAATTCTTCAATCTCTGCATTTAATTTATGTATTACCCATTCCATTGCTTCTCGGCCCTTAAAAAAAATCCAATACACTTATTGTTACAGAGAAAGCAAAAGCATGTATCAACTAAACGACACACCAGGAAGTAACAAGGAGCATTATTATTATAACTAAACCTCACAAGGACAGACCATTTTTTGTCCTTGCTTTTTCTTTCTTAATGTTATTTACCGGTATCAAATGCCTTGAGCAACTGCCTTGATCCATAAACTGATTTTCATTTTGTATGCAAAAGGTGTTCTCAAAAGAATCCACAGTTAAATAACAAGATATCTTATTTATTTCATGATTAGAGTGGTCCCCTTTTTGGGAGAATGTCAATCCCCTTTTTCTTTCTTTTCTACATTTTAAACCAAAATCCTATACAAAGGCCCTGTGAGATCTGGTCCATGACTCACTCCTGGCCTCTTTTTGCCTAGCACTCTATGCAGTTCCTTGAGGAATGAGAAGAGAAGCATTTGACGCTTCCTGTCTCAGGGCCTTTGCACATGCAGCTCCTCCACACAGAATGCTCTTCTTGGCATGCCCCTCACAACCAACCTACTCCCCCTTCAGCACTTGGCAGAAACATCGGTTACTAAACACTCTCCTACCTTTCTGTACTTTTCCTTTCTAATGATGTGTTGTATAATTAATGTCACCTTCCTCTTAGTTCCATGAGGACAGGGACCATATTTGTTTTGCTTCCTGCTGCATCCCCTATCTAGCCTAGCACTCTGCCTGGCACAGAGAAGGCATCTGTGAGTATCTCTGACTGCTGATTGACTATACTTAATAAGTGTCATTAAACAGTGCATTAGGCATTTCTTTCTCTAAATTTCTTTTGTTTTAAATCATGCACTCTCAATGGGGTAAAAATTGGTTCTTGAGGGAGATGGGGAAAAATTCACTCTTTTATGTAAAAAGCACATATATATGTATTAACTTCATGGGGGTGGTAATTAGGAGAAAAATGTCTAAAAAGGATTGGCGGGGAGACGATAATGAAAAAAGGTTGAGACACAGTGCTTTAAACAATGATGCAGCTACACATCATAGAGCACTTCCTCCATGTTGGGCCACCGCACCATACGCTTTCTGTGTGTTATCTCATTTACTTCATGCTAACCCTGTAGGATGGGCAATTTCCACTTCACAGACGGGAAAATGAGGATCAGAAAGATGAACTTAATTGCCCAAAGTTGAAAGGCAGGTAAGAGTTAGAGCTTGGATGTGAACCCAGGCGTGCTAACTCCAGAGCCTGTGCAAGTAACTGCTAATGCTCTATGACTTCTTACTGCAGAGTGGCTGAGAGCCAGCTTATAAGGACAAACACACACTCAGCACTAAGCTCTTCCAGGAAATGAACCCAGGGAATAAGAAACAATTAAGAAGAAGCCTTACTTTATTAGCATTTGAAGATATTGTACTTGCCATCAGTCCTTCAAGGTAACTGCTGAGGCTGACTCCTTTCACAGTGATTATTGCTTCTTGAGTCAAAATAGTTCTGGAACAAAACACATTCACACTGCTTCAGATGAGCCAACTTTCATTTTTGAAAAAAAGATTTAATAAAAAAAAGTAAGACACTGTAGAATAAGTTTGTTAAAACACTTTTTACTCACTTTTCTGGGTCCTGAGGGTGTGGTTTGTATATAAGTCTCTCATCTACTGAAACCATATTTGTAAATGAAATCTATGAAGTGGAAAAAATAAAAGCCAAATCATTCTGGAAACAAACACTAAAAACATTTCAAAAATTAACATATAAGCCAAAACCTTACTATCTAAATGTACAAAACAACAATAAAACCAACAACAAACAAACCACTTTGATACTACTGTATAAATGTAACTTTAGGGCCGGCCTGGTGGCGCACTGGATAGTGCGCCGCTTGGGAAGCGCGGTGGCGCTCCCATCCGAGGGTTCGGATCCCACATACAGACCGGCTCCCGCTCACTGGCTGAGCGAGGCGCGGGAGCAACACCGAGGCTTGCAATCCCATTGCCGGTCCCCGGTCCGGTACGGGGGCAACACTGAGGGTTGCGATCCGTTGCCGGACACGGAAAAAAGACAAAAAAAAAAATAAATAAATAAATGTAACTTTAATCCCAATATTCACTGACTACTTTTTTTTTTTTTTTTTTAAAGATGACCGGTAAGGGGATCTTAACCCTTGACTTGGTGTTGTCAGCACCACGCTCTCCCAAGTGAGCTAACTGGCCATCCCTATATAGGGATCTGAACCTGTGTCCTTGGTGTTATCAGCACCACACTCTCCCAAGTGAGCTAACTGGCCATCCCTATATAGGGATCTGAACCTGTGTCCTTGGTGTTATCAGCACCACACTCTCCCAAGTGAGCCACAGGCCGGCCCACACTGACTTATTTTTATTAAAACTAACCTTGAGAAAATTATAATAAAAATATGCACATGATTCCTATTCATTTCATTGAGTGCTATCCTCTAGAAATTGGCAGGATCATTAGAGTAGTGAGGCTAGGGAAGCTATAAATAAGGCAAAGACAAAACAGCATGTAAATATCAATTTTCTAAACCACATTTAAGAACATACATTCATCTATATATCAACTAAAAGAGAAACAAAATATCAAGCCAAACAGTTCAAAATTAAAGAAAAAGGGAGCCAAAACTTACATTAGTAGATTTAAGTTCCATTGTTTTTTCTACAGGATCAACTACAGAATGTTCTTGCACATATGTTTTGGTTCTTGCTGCACCAATAAGCTAAGTAAAACATTCAGAATTAGTAATCAGAAGAGCAAGGATTTCTTATCAAGTTTATCAATATTTTATTTGAAGGTAAAAATGTGTTGTAATATCTTGAACCAAAAATCTGTTTCATAAAAAACAGGAGGAACCAAAGGTCAGAAAGGAGGCCTAGTTGAGGTAGAGAATTCACACATCATGGATGAGAAGAGACTGCCAGACATAACCACCTTTCCCAGAGGCAATTAGGAACCAGCCCACTGAGAAAGTATGCAACCTAAGGCACAATGTTGAAATTGCCAAGGTTTAACAATGAAGCGCTGAAGCTGAGATATGGAAATCAGAAGATTTGGAAAAACATAGCATCTCGCAAAAGGAGAGTTCAAGAGTATGTCACTATCTTCCTAGAGTAGTCCAGGAAAGAGGGTGCTGCAGCTTCATTCTCCACATAGAAAAACAGCCATCGTAAGATGGAGGTGCATACCTCGGCACTCAGCGTCACTCCCTGTGCTATGATCCAAAGCTGATCCCCTGATCCTGCTCATTATGTCCCCACTGTCTAATGCTATGGTTTGTATAAAGGAGGCAATCAGCACACTCCTTTAGAAAATGTATACTTTAGTTTTTTTTTTTTGTCTTTTGTCTTTTTCCATGTCCGGCAACGGATCGCAACCCTCAGTGTTGCCCCCGCACCGGACCGGGGACCGGCAACGGGATCGCAACCCTCAGCGCCGCTCCCGCGCCTCGCTCAGCCAGTGAGCGGGAACCGGTCTGTATGTGGGATCCGAACCCTCGGGCGGGAGCGCTGCCGCGCTTCCCAAGTGGCGCACTATCCAGTGCGCCACCGGGCCAGCCCCGTATACTTTAGTTTTCTGAGTGGACCTACCTTCCATAAAGAGACCCTCTGCAGAAGCCTGGATCACTTACCACATCAGAGTTTTCTCACATTATGATAAAATGGCATTCTGGTTTCTGGCTGGTTAAATGAGCTCACTAAAGCCTGCTCATTTGTAACTGAACAGACTTGTTTCTAAACATACAGGAAGAAGTACTAGACCTTGGGACAAACGTGACAAGAACAAGTTCGAGTACATACTCCTTACTTAATGTCACAACCCACCACTGACCACAGCAACTGTCACCTAATAATCATGACCAGACCACGCCTTCTAACTCTTACTATTGGTCTCAAGTTGCTGGCAAAAGCAGAAAACCAGAATGTAACTCCTTTTAGATTACAGAGCATTAGCTAGCTTCCTTCAGAAGGTTTTATCGAGTGCCTTCATGAAGACTGTAATAATATTTCCAATTCATTATACACTCATAACTCAAGTTTATTATAATACAATTTGAACTGATGCAAAAATGACATTCAGAATCAGCTCCCACAACCTATTTGAAATTATTATGTGGTTTAGAAAACTTCTCTACAGCAGTCACATTTCTCTGAGAATAAAGACACACTTACAGACTTCACAATGGAAGGCAGTCCCCACTCTGTGCTGAGAAGTCTATGGCTGTGCAACTTTCCAGAGGGATCTATATGTCTGTCCAACACATCAACTCCAACCACACTTGGGTTCATAGGATTTGGGTATTTCTGCATTGCAGCTGTTGTAACAGTTTCCCATGGGTGGCTGCATATGAAAAAAAATATGCATATGAATTAAACAATCTTTTATAACCTATCAAGTCATTCTTTACAATGTAAGTTTCATTAGTTTACCTACAGAAAAATTACTTTCTGAATCACTGACTGACTGATGATTTTGGAAGATCGATCTACATTTTTAATGCGTATATACTTAGGTATTTTTCCAGAACACAGGCTTTATAATACAATTGATGTATATAAAGATCAAAACAGCCTATAGAGCATCCCAGTATAGTTTCTTAAATAATCTTTCCAACTTACCATTATTCACTTTCACATTAATTTTGTTTCTAGGAGAAACCAATGATTCTTAAAAATCTATTTAAAAATTATGTTCTACTAAAACAAGTAGCAAAAACTGTCATTACAACATTCGAATAGCCCAGGTTATCTGAGGAGAAAGCATGGATCAGGGCTACTTCTTTTTTTTTTTGACCGATAAGGGGATCGCAACCCTCCACATAGTGTGGTCTGCACCACGCTCAGCCAGTGAGCGCACCAGCCATCCCTATATAGAATACATGGGGCCGGCCAGGGCTTCTTCTCCCAGGACATGTACGGCATTTATTTGAATATGACTGTCTTCTAGGAGGAATGTCCCAGAGCTTTCATCAAATCTTAAAGAGGTCGGTGACCAAAAAAAGAAAGAGATTAAGATCACAGATAAAATGCAAGACAGGAAGGCCAACAGCAGAATTTCACAGAACATTTACACTGAAAGGAAAAAAGAAAGGGACAAATGGAAGAAAAAGACAGGAAGAGTAAAGATGGGAGTAGGGGACAAGCCAGAGATAAGAGTGTTCTAAGGAGACTCAGTGCCAAGAACTTGTGAAACATTCAAACCCGGAACAGGACTGAAATTAAGCATCCCAGGTGCTGAAAACAGTCTAGTGAAGAATATGACCAGGTTAAAGAATATCAGAAATACTACACATTTAGGGACTTACTTTCCCCTAGAAAAACTGTAAATGTTAGGGAGAAGGAAAACTTCCTTCTGATTCTAATATTCTATACTTTCCAGGATTCAGCAGATCACCAGAGCGTAATAACTTCGTATAGCATACATTATACGAAGTTATACGACAGCTTATTAAAAAAAATTCTATCTAAAATATAGTAGTATTTTTAAAATAATAAATATATTGCCAGCTTGGAGAGACCCGGGGGACTGGATGTTGTCTGCCAACTTTCATCATTATTTCTCTACAAATGCCGCTGCCGCCATAGGTGTCCTTATACTTCCTCTTGCTGAAGCTGTCAATTCTTCAATCTCTGCATTTAATTTATGTATTATGATCCGAACCCGTGGCCTTGGTGTTATCAGCACCACACTCTCCCAAGTGAGCCACGGCCCCTAAAATGTTGACAACTTTTAAAATTGCCCTCAGAGGGCCGGCCCGGTGGCGCACTGGATAGTGCGCCGCTTGAGAAGCGCGGAGGCGCTCCCGCCCGAGGGTTCGGATCCCACATACAGACTGGTTCCCGCTCACTGGCTGAGGGAGGAGCGGGAGCAACACCGAGGGTTGCAATCCCGTTGCCGGTCCCCGGTCTGGTACGGGGGCAACACTGAGGGTTGCGATCCGTTGCCGGACACGGAAAAAGACAAAAGACAAAAAAAAAAAATTGCCCTCAGAATGCAGAGTAAGGTGAACTCCTTTACATTGTGGGTGGGACTATAAATTAGTACAGCCATTATGGAAAACAGCATGAAAGTTTCTCAAACAACTACAACTAGAACGACCATATGAAACAGCAATCCCACTACTGGGTATATATGCAAAGGAATGGAAACCACCAGGTTGAAGGGATACCTGCACTCCCATGTTATCAGGGCTCTATTTACAATAGTTGGAATATAGAACCAACCTTAATGTCCATCCACAGATAACTGGATAAAGAAAATATGGCACATATATACACTGGAATATTACTCAGCCATAAAAAAGAATAAAATTCTGCCATTCACAGCAACACAGATGAGTTTGGAGAAAATTATGTTAAGTAAAATAAGCCAGGCACAGAAACAGAAATGCCACATGCCCTCACTGATGAGTGTGGAAGCTAAAAAAGAAAGAAACAAAAAAAGAAAGATCAATCATAGTAGCAGTTGAAATTTCAGAAGGAGAAAACAGAACTGTGGTTACTAGAGGTGAGAAAGGGGGAAGGGGTGACGGGGTTAGGGAGTAATTGGTCAATGGACACAGAAAATGACTACTTTGTAATGATGAATATACTAATTATCCTGATTTGATCACCAAATATTGTGCATAAATACTGACAGTCTGCTCTGTACCCTACACATATGTATAATCAATTATATTTCAATAAAATAAAAGATAATAAAAGATAACAGATCTTTCCATAGGGAAAAAAATTTTTAAAAAAAAATCCTCCTCAGAAACACTTTTAAAAATGCAAATGGCTAAACTAAAATACACTGCAAAGATATCATAACTAAAACAATATGGCAACAACAGCAAGACCATTGAAATAGTGCAGATAGTTTAGAAATAGATTCAAATATGAATCACAACAGTGTTTAGGACAAGGGTGGCACTTTAAATCAGTGAGAGGAAGACGAATTAGTCAATAAACAGTGCTGGCATAACAAATAAGCCATTTAGGCAAAAAAGGATATAGCTGCTTATACTCCTGGTTATTTTGTGTGGAATCATGGAACCGGAAGAGAATTTAATTCCCACCTTCCAACTGGTAGAACTATTTTCCAACCAACTGAGCTAACTGGCCAGCCCAAGGTCTCCTTTTGTTACTAAATACCAGAGTCCTTCAAAAAGTTCATGGAAAAATACAACCAAAAGATAATACAAATCTTTCCATGAACTTTTTGATGTGCCCTCGTATTTCACACGAACCAAAAATATGGTACTGGACGTGGCCCCAAAGACATCTTGCACTGGGAGGCCCTGGATGTTACCCTCATCCTCCATCTCTCCGATGAAAACGAGTAACCCAAGGTCACAAGCTTGCTAGATCCAGAGCTAAGGCGCAAGGCTCTGTTCCTTAGGTCCCAGTAGCCCGAGTTCACCCGAAACTTGCATTCTGAGGTAAGAAACTCCACCCAAACAGGGGCCAAGCAACTACACTTGAGAAAACCCACGCCTCCCTCCCGGGATCCTCGGGTCCACGTCCCAGCAGAGTTTTGCAAGGTCGGATGTGGCAACCCCCTTGAGTGCTGTCAAGGACCTCGTGCTCCGCGACGCCCCCACGACCCCAGGAGGCCGCGGGCACCCGAGGCCGCCTCCCGGGGGGGCAGGCCGGAAGTGGCCCCGGCTCTGGCCACCCTCCCGGCAGGTCGGGCGCCCCGAAGTCGTGACCTTGAGCCCGCCTCCGGCAGCCCGTGGGGCTCAGGTTCGGCTCTCCTCACCAGGCCCGACGCCTGGAAGCTTCCAGAGGGCCACCTCGGCCCCGCCATCGCTCCGGGCCCGACCTACCCGCCCGCCCCGCAGTTGCCCTCGCGCCTCAAACTTACTCAAAGACGTGCTCCGAAGTCCAGATCTTCATGGTGCTGGCAGCCCGCGAGATGTCCGGGCGGCGCTAAGGGACAATGAGGTGAAGAGGCCAACCCTACCCCCACCCCCAGCACCCCGGCCGGCCGCGCCGCGCGCAGGCGCCGTCGGATCCGACGCGAGGGACGTCCCGACGCGCTGCCCCACGCCCTATCCCGGCCCAGATTTTGCCCCAGTCTTGCGCGCGGCGCAAAGAAGCCCCGCCCCTTAGCGCCAGACGCAGCGCGCCGGCGCAGTGCTGGGGTCGACGCTCGGGGCTGCCGGGGCGGCGCCGTGCTGCGCAGGCGCGGCGAGCGTCGCCGGCTGCGCTGGGCGGGGTAGAGTGCTGGCGGGCTCCGGAGGTGCTGGCAGCCCGCGAGATGTCCGGGCGGCGCTAAGGGACAATGAGGTGAAGAGGCCAACCCTACCCCCACCCCCAGCACCCCGGCCGGCCGCGCCGCGCGCAGGCGCCGTCGGATCCGACGCGAGGGACGTCCCGACGCGCTGCCCCACGCCCTATCCCGGCCCAGATTTTGCCCCAGTCTTGCGCGCGGCGCAAAGAAGCCCCGCCCCTTAGCGCCAGACGCAGCGCGCCGGCGCAGTGCTGGGGTCGACGCTCGGGGCTGCCGGGGCGGCGCCGTGCTGCGCAGGCGCGGCGAGCGTCGCCGGCTGCGCTGGGCGGGGTAGAGTGCTGTCGGGCTCCGGAGGTGGCCGCCGGTGGCATGTTTCCCGGCCTGCCCTTCCGCGTTCTCGCCTGGCACAGCGAGGCCTGTGCACGGATCCGGTCGGTCCAGTAACGCGGATAATCCTCGTGGTGTTCACTTGAGCACACTTTCCAGGCGCTCTATTGGAAAGTCCCTCCCACCTCCTGCCTCGACCCGGGCCGTGGCGGGTCCACAGTGAACCAGCCAACCTGTCACTCGGCTGGTGCTCGCTCCCTGGTCCTCCCAGGGGTTAGGACCCAGTGGGACAAGACGCACGGACTCGCAGAAGCTAGCACCGGCCGGCGTGGGGGGTGCAGTCGGAAGCACGGGTGCTGGAGGGGAGGGATGGACGAGCTTCGAGGCCCGTGTTCATGGGATGGGTCTTAGCTCGACTGTCACCCTCAGAGGCCTTTCCTCGTCACCCTTTCTCAGCAGATCCTCCCAGCCTTAGCTCCTCCATCACAACATCCTGTGGCGTTTTTCTTAGCACTTGTCACTCTCTGAAATCACCTTGTTTATTTAACTTCCCCTGGAGTTAAGTCCTTGAAGGCAAGGCCCTTGCCTGTCTTGCTCAGGGGCGATTCTCGGTGCCTCCTATGGAGTGAAGGCTCAATGATTATTTATTGAAAAATAAAATAATCGACGATTATTTCTGGAGTGAATTTATTAATGAAATGAGGGCGAGGTTCTGGCCTGCTGGACTGTGTTCAACGAGCCCCTTTACCTACATAATAATGACCTGTTGCATAAATGAATGAATGGCCAAGTGAGGAGGTGGGAGGGGATGGCATGTGGGTTTCATCCAGAGATGAGCCGTGTCCAGTGGACAAAGTGCCTGGCTTAGGGTTAGGCTTCCAACCCACACTCGCCATAACCTTGTACCTCCTAACAGAGTAAGTTGCCGTTTTAAATGAAGGTTATGGAGGAAATTTACATCTGGTTATTTAAGAGCTAGTTAGAAGTACCGCCTCCTTCTCGTTCTTAGCTTGTTTGATTGTTAAAAACAAATAAAAGCCAGGTTAATTTAGGAGAGAGGATAATTTTTTAAAATAGTCAAATCCTTTATGTAAAAAAACAAAAATTACATTAGACAGGAAGGAAATAATATGGTTGGATAGTTGCTAAGTGCAATTTGTGGTACCTAGAATTTTTTTTTTTTTAAACCTACAGTACTTTGAGTGATTTCTTGGGGAGGTAATGCTTTCAGGGCTGCTGAGAGTGCCTCAGCCTTGATTAAGATGCGAAGTTAACGTCGCTGGATGTTAAAAACATGGTTCAGGAACCATCAGCACAGAACAGCCTGTCCCTGCTGTTCTCGGAGCTCCGTGAATCTGTTCACCACCCAACATTCCTATCCTATTTATTTTAGAGAATATTATTCTGCTCCCTAGTTCAAGATTTCTGTTTTTTAAAGTCGTGAAATTAAATGACACATGTCCCCCCAGCCTCCCACACACCGTATCAGTCTATTGATTTTACTTACTACATCTGGAGCAATGTGAAGGTGGGCATGGAAGGATGGAGATCCGGGACTCAACCATCTTTTGGTGTGTCCAAGATGGAAATAATACCACCTCTTACTTGGATTTGGAGAGCACAAGCTTTACATATATTATCTCCTGGAGACTTACTTAAGAGACACAGAGGAAGCAAATTAATGGTTTTTAGATACCTAAGCACTGTGTTACTGACATTGCCTCTTACCAAAATGAAGTCATTAGTAGGTCATTAACTTGATTTGAAATTAACGAGGTGACTGGCTCTTATGGTTCTCACCCCAGGGATGACACACATCTCCACCCACACCCTTCCTGTTGGGATCTCCTGCCCAGCCCTGTGCCTGGGAGGAAGAACACAGATATGACTCCTACCTGCAAGGAACTTCACAACTGGCTGGAGAGCCAAAACAAGGCAAGAAATATCTAGAGATTGTTTAAAGGGAGAGTTGTGTGTTCAGAGCCAAGAGACCCAGGACTGTGAAGTGTAGCCTTTCAGTCATCGTGGAAGATGGTGGGCAGGGCATCCTCCTGGACCACAGAGGAGGATTTGGCTGAGGGGCTGGGAGCAGGAGTTGGCATGTGGGGAGAAGCCCCACACATCTGGTGTCAGAAGTGCATATGTGTTGCGAGAGTATAGGAGGAGAAAATAGAGTGTTTTTCTCAGAATCAGCTTCTTTACAAATATACTTTAAATGAAACTTTATATAATTACTGTCCATAGAAAACCAGTATTTCTTTTCCTGATACTTGCTCAATACATAACTCTTAAAATGAAACTGTAAGCCCTGTGGGCTCCTTAACATCTTTTCACATACTCCAGAAGTGGAGGTGTCCTGCTTTGGGGGGATTTCCAAACCACACAACTGCTCTTTGGACTCATCTGTTCTCAAACTCTAAACCACCCTTTCCTCTGAACCTCTCAGCAATGGCCTTTATCTTTGAATTCACTGTGAACTCCTTCAACTTCCCTTCCTTCTTCAAAATGGCTTGTATTGTGATTAATACTCCTTGTATTCCTTCTCGACTCAGGGAGTGCTGTGAAATCTTTTTGACTTTGCTCCCTTCATTTATTCATTGCACGAATAGCCACTGATTATCTATTCCAGGTCACCCCAGCCTCATGGAGCTTACACAGCCCCAGTGGTTCTCGACCAGGGGTGATTTCCTCTGGGGGATATTGGGCAGTCTGGAGACAAGGTTGGTTGTTGCTATGGGTCAAATGTGTCCTCCAAAGTTTATATATCAGAAACTTAATACGCATTGTAACAGCGTTAAGAGGGTGGGGAATCCTATTATGGTAATTGAAAGGTGGGGCCTTTTAGAGGTGATTGTGTGGACTGTATCCCTGTGAATGAATTGATCCATTGGTTGTTTAATGGGTGGTCATAGACATGGTTCTGATGGCTTTAAAAAGAGAACAATGAGGAGGTTAGTTTTCCCTTGCTTAGCCCATTCACCGTGAGACATCCTGCCTTGCTATAGAGAGTCACCACCCTCAAGAAGGCCCTCACCAGACCTGTTCCCTGTACTGTGAACTTCCTAGCCTCCAAATGTGTAAGAAATAAATTCTATTTCTTTATAAATTACCCAGTTTCAGGTATTTTGTTATAAATAACAAATGGATGAACACAGTTGTCTTTACTGGTGGTGGTGGTGCTACTGGCTTCTACTGGGTAGAGGGTCAGGATGCTGCTAAGTCCTGTATAATGTGCAGGACAGTGACGGTCCCCCCACAACAAAGCAGGATCTGGCCCCAAATGTCAATAGTGTCAGAAGGTAGAAACTCTGGTGCATAGCTGACAAGTTCTTATAATCTGGCCCAGTCTACCTGTCTGGCTTTAATTGTTCATCTTTGCATTCTCCAACTCAGCTGAACCTGATAGCTACATCATTCACTCACTGTCTCTCAACAGGCTCCACACTTCCACGCACTTGAACTTTGTGCCTGGTGTTCTCTTGGCCCAGAATGCACTTTCCTCTTTTTGCCCTGAAGAGTCTTATTCACATCTTGAGATTCTGTGCAGATGCTGTGCTCCCTGAGTGTCTCACGGATATGTGTCACCCCTGGCACAGCACAATGCCTTGTTTCTACCTTTGTGTTCCTGTAGGCATTTCTAGAGCCCTCATGGTGACACATCACCGTATAAGTGCTGTGTGTGTGTGTTCACAACTGCAATATGAGTACAAAGTAGTGACTTCTGTGTTAGATGGATGGGGGTCCTCCTTACCTAACTCTTCATTTTTGGAAACCTTCCTGCAGTATGGCTGCACAGGAAGCAAGAATCATGCTAATTTGAACATATTCACTACTGAACCAAATACCTATACATGTGGTGCCCGCTGAAAACACCACCACAGATCCTCATTGTCCAGCCTAAGTGTTAGCTGGTCAAATCTCCCACTGGCTGTCCGGGGCTAAAAATGTATCAAAAATGGCTGGAAAGTGGTGCAGAATTTTATCAAATTGATGAGAGTGATGTCCAAGAACTCTTCCATCATGCACTAAACCACTAGTAGTTGACTTTGTGTAGAATTAAGGCAGTTAACACTCAAGAAGAGAAAATCGACAAGGAATGGTTCCCAGAGAAAGAGCATGTCACATGGTAATGATCTGAATAGCTAAAAATTGAGAGAGACCCTGGGGAAAAGGAATCAAGTCCTTGACTATTTCTGCGAGGATATCCATCCCTTTGATTGGGCTGTAAAATGTAAACATTGTAGTGCTATTTTTTAGTTTGGTGAGGAAAAAAATTATGGTAAAAACCAACACTTGATTCATTTTGTGTAATACTAATTTACATAGAGTTACAGTTTTACTCTAAGTTATGTGTATATATATCTCACATAAATATATATCATCATACATGTATATATCACTACATATGTGCATACATACACACTTATATCATCA